AAAAAAAAAAAAAAAAAAAAAAAAAGTATAGTATAATCTCATTTTGATTAAATGAAATTAGGATCTGTGTACCAGCATATAAAATACAAAAACATCTGAGATAACATCTGTGAGGTGGTGTTACAGATGTTGACATCTGGGTGTTGTTGGAAATTCTCATAGCACATGTGGCATGGTTTTTGTATTTTAAGAAATTATCTTTTTTTGCCTTTTTCTAGTTACAAAATAAATATTACAGGCCATGGTGGCACACACTGTAATACTGACTACTCAGGAGGTTGACATAGGAGGACCCCTTGGGCTATTCAGCAGACTTTGTTTCCAAATAAAATGAAAAAGGCTGGGAATTGGGTATGGTGGCATATGCCTGCAATAATCCCAATGTCCTGGGAGGCTGAGGCAGGAGGATTGCAATTTTAAACCCAGTCTAAGCAGCCTAGGAAGACCCTGTCTCAAAATTCAAAAAATAATATTAGCGGGCCTGGGATTTAGCTCAGTGGTTCTGCTGCCTGCCTCGCAAGCACAAGGACCAAGTTCAGTCCCCAAAACTCTGGTGGCAGGCCACCAGTAGCTTCAGGACGGTGACTGATCACTGAAAGACCAATGTATGATTAAGAGGAGGTTGGAACCTTCATTCCCGACCCCCAGCCTCTGGGGAAGAGAGGGACTGAAGGTTAAGTCGATCACCCATGGCCAACGATGGAATCGATCAGGCCCATGTAATGAAGCCTCCATAAAAAGCAAGAGCACTGGGTCTGGAGAGCTTCCTGACTGCTGAATGCATGGGGTGCTGGGTGGCTCCCCTGCACCCTCCCTCCCACAGGCCCGGCTCTACACATCTCCTCCATCTGGCTGTCCTCTTCATCCTTGATCATGTTCTTTATTAATAAATTGGTAAATGTAGGGAAAGTATTTCCCTGAGCTTTGTGAGCAGCTCTAGCAGACTAAGCTTCAGAGATGGTGGTAGGAACCCACCCTTGCAAGGAGCGTCAGAAGTGGGGGTGTCGTGGGCCCTTGGCTTCTGCCACCTCCAGCCAGACAGTGTCACAGGAGCCCAGCTGGGTCCACTAGAGAAGTGCTCACTTGGTGTGGGGTGAAACGCCCCCATACATCTGGTGTCCAAAATGTGTCAAGTGGGGTGTGAGTAAAGTAAAAATGCTGTTTTCTTCCTAACTCTTACCTTTGTAGCAAGTCTGCAGAGAAATTACTGGCCAACTCATTATTGACTAGCTGGTTGGTGTCTAGTAACGCTATGGTTGGGGCTCAGAACATACCCAAAATGTGGCCGTAGCTTAGTGGCACTGTGCCTGCCTGGCAAGTGCAAGGTCTTGAGTTCAATCTGTGGTACAAAAATCAAGACATGGGCCAGGGATTTAGCTCAGTGGTTCTACCACCAGCCTTGTAAGCACAAGATCCTGAGTTTGATCCCTGGTACCAAAAAACCCAAACAAAACAAATGTGGTCCTTGGACTTCAAACTAAGAGCACCAGGGAGCAAGCAGCAAATGCAGACAAGAATTTTTTCTAAAGCCGCCCCCTCTACGCAAGGTCAGATCCTACACACCACTGTCACACACTGTGAACCCTTTCCTTGGAGGAGACAGAACAGGGAATCAGAAGGAGGCAGATGGCCGGAAGACTGCAGTTACGCTTCTTGCTGGGTGACTGCTGCCCAGCTCACTTATCTCTAAAATTCATTACTCTTCCTGGGAAACCACCTAACCCTGCTACCCCCACATAAAAGGTCTACAAGCTCGGCAGAGCTCGCTCTCTGGTGTGGCCATGGCCGGTGCACAGATGCACTTTTCCCAGCTCATCTATCCACGGCCAGTGTGTTCCTCAGCCTCGGGCTCCAACCTCCAGAAGGGAAAGAGAAGGGTCTCTGGCCCTCACACTAAGCTCTGTGAATATTTCTAAATGTCTGCAAAAGTCAAATCCACGGAGACAGAAAGATTAGCTGTTGCCTAGTGGAATGGGCCATGGCTGCTAATGAGAATAGGGAATTTTTTTTTTCCTGAAGTGGTGAAAATGTCCTACAACTGTGGTGAATTCTGCACATTTTTTCTAATACAGGCCATTGAATTATTCATTTTAAATGGATGAACTGTTTAGTATGCGCATTATATTTCAATTCAACTGCTACAAAGGGCATTTAGAAAGAGCTGCAGCACCAAAACACCAGACGCTTTGCTTTTTTAAAATATAACTTAGTTGAGTTTGACACAGTAAAAAATGTACCAGTGGAATAGTAATAGTACCACTGATTTAGTAAGACCAGAGATTGTGCTTTCTCCCTTGCTATGACCAAGTTCTTTTTATTTCTGCTATATATGTTGCTCTTTGGTTTGTGGGAACTAGTAGCTTTTTTAAAAAATAAAAATTTTGTATATATCCCATAGCTGCTGCTGTGGTCATGAGCTAAGTGGTACCTGGCCCTCAGGGCAAGTGGGAGCTGAAACAGCCCAAATTCCACCAGGAAAGTGACCGGAGTATCCACATAAAAAAGAACCTTCAAGGGTTGGGGATCTGGCTCAGTGGTGCCGCCGCCTGCCTCGCAAATGCAAAGTCCCACGAGTTCGATAGGTACAAAAAAAAAAGAACCTTCAGGGGGCTGTAGCCAGGGATGTGGCTATGGCCTTTAGGTCTTTTGCTCCCAAAGGGACCCTTTCTCCAACTTGAAAAGAGTCACACAGGCTGTGACCAGCAGGAAAGCATTACTGCTTCTCACAACACATCTAACAGAAAGGCAGTTTTTATTCAAACCACTCATAAGAAAAGATGTCAAAGTGGGGAGTCTAACATCTCGTAACCACCCAATTTAGCAAGGAAGGGGTTGATCATGTGCAAAGAACTCCTGAAGCAGGAAGGAGGAGCAGACTTCAGAAAGACTTCCAAGAGAAGGGGTTTCTAGTTGACCCTTGAATAAAATCTGAGCAGCCTTGGTTGATTAAGCACCCAGCTGAATTTGCTCTTATACAAAGCAAATGCTCTCAGGAAGCTCACAGGAGTAGATGGTTCATTGGGAAAGAACACTTGCCTGTGGACTTTACATGAATATGCGTATCAGGCGAAGACAAGTGCGTTACAAATATAAACGTAACACAGTGGAAGGAGCAAAGGAGTCTGGGTCAACAGACAAGGCTGAGTGAGCCCCCGGGCAGGAGCCTCCAGAGTGGCAGGACAGTTAGGCTGAATACAGTGACTCAAATGCTTTATATAAAAAATATATCAAGGGATATAATGCTTTTTGACTCTGAAGCAATTCACATCAATCATATACTGATGGTGGTGCAACTGGTAAAATCTAGATAGTAGAATCATTCATTCCAGAGTCCTAATTGTTGTTAAAGAAATTACACGAGGAAAAAAAAATGAAGGGAGAAACTATGGGTTAAAAAAGATTTGTACAAGATATGTCAAACAAATGCAATGTGAAGACCTTATTTGGAACCTGACACAAACTTAAAATAGATATGACTTTTATAAGAAAATTGAGAAAATCTGCACACTGATATCAATTTAATTTGATATCAAGGAACAATTCTTAGATGTAATAATGGTGTGGTTAATCTTAAAAAAATCTTATCCTCTGAAGATGAACTTGATTTATTTATGGGTAAAATAATATGATGTATAGAATTTCTTTCAAAATAATACGGGAAAGGAGAAGTGGATGAGAACATAAATAAAACAAGGTTGAGGATGAACCGAACAGACACTGAAGCTGTGTAAAAGAACGAGGGTTCAATATACTCTTCCATCCATTATTTACTTGTTTGATTAGTCTTTTTTTTTTCTTTTTCTTTTTTCTGGTACCAGGGATCTAACTCAGGACCTTGCGCTTGCGAGGCAGGTGCAGTGCCACTGAGCTAAATCCCCGGCTGCTACATGTTTGTTTGAAATTCTGCCTAATAAAGTTTGTTGTTGTTGTTTTTTTTAATTTCATGCTGTACTGCAAATCCTAATGTTTACATTAAATTCTACAGCAAAAATAAGATGAAAGATTTCAAAGAAAATCAGTCAGGGATGTTACTGTCCTTTCACCATGGGCCTTTAAAATCTGTGTGATATTTTTAAAAGGCAATACATATACAGATGGTTTGCCACCTGCCTCGCAAGAGGAAACTCTAAAAAAAAAAAAAAAAAAGGGTAGCCTGAGTTAAATATCCATATGGTTAATTCCACTTCTCAAAATTAATCCTAAGGAAGCAGTTAAGAATGGACAAGAAAGGACTGATGTTCACCACTACGCAGTGCATTATAGAAAGAAATGTTGGAAAACCAAAGACAGATTAATTAAATAGATCACAGCACAATAAAACTTAATTCCCCTACTTAAGAAGATATTGCAATCCCAATGATAAATGTAACTGTATTGTTTGCTTTAAATGTACCAATAAACTTAATGGGGGGGAAGATATTGTAGAAAAGTAGCAATATACAAGTTGTCAGAGGAGGGCAAATTAAAACAGTGTATTTAGTAAAACTAGGTTCTTCTTTACTTTTTCTTTTTTGTGTGTGTGGTACCCGCAATCAAACTCAGAACCCTGCACTTGTCAGGCAGGTGGTGGAACCACTGAACTCAATCCCCAGACCTACTTTTTCTTTTTAAACAAGGTCTTGCTATGTAGTTCAATCTTCTCTACAGTCTTATAGTTTAAGGATGATCTATAAACATGGCTTGCTTCTGTCATTTCAAACTGTATACAAAAAGTCATCATGAGGGCTAGGGATGTAGCTCAGTGACACAGCACCTGCCTAGCATACAAGAGGTCCTGAGTTCGATCCTTGGTACAAAAAAGTTAAAAATTCAGTCATCATGAACTGATTAAGTAAAAAGTCAGTTTCATGCAGCAGCATTATTAGCCTTACTAAACACACACACATAAGAGTGATAGTCTGTTAAGAGTCCCATACTTGAAACTAGAAACTACAACCAAGAACATTTCATAAAGAAGCTGTTCAAGTGGGAAATAATCATTTAAGGTCTCAAAAGAGAAGCAAGGCTTCCTTAATGAGTTCTGAGCACATGCCTGTTACAAGAATATACTGTCTGTAGTTTTGACTATATAAATTCGTAAAGGCAAAGAGATTAAAGGCAAACACATATTTTATCCAGGTAAAGATTCCACAGATCTCTAAAAGCACAGACACCAGATCTTGTTTAGAGATTAAGGTGAGAAAAGGGTTTGTTAAACAGCCCCATTCCTAGGGGATATTATCTCATACCCACTCCACAGGACAGAAGGTCAAACAGCATCTCGGGTTGGAATCACTGCATCTCCCCGAACTCACCACTCACTCAATACTTACTAAGGACAACATCTTCGGAGCTCACCTCATAGTCTTTCCTTGGAAGGATCTCATCCTCCTCTTCCTGTGTTTCCCCAAGGATAGTCTAGAAAAGCAGATCCACAGAAAGGACACCTTTTTAGTGGTTAAGATCAAGATAGCCAGACATGCTGGCACATGCCTGTAATAATCCCAGCACTCTGAGAACAGAGATCACAAGTTCAAGCCCAGTCTGGGCAACTTAGCCACTTATGGAGAGCTTGTCTCAAAATAAAAATTTTTAAAAGGCCTGGGGATGTAATAGAGTGTGAAGGAGATGGTTCAATTCCCTGTATCACACACACAGTGGAAAAAAGTACAAAATTGCTAGCTTCCAAACCACCTGCTCCTTTATCAAAGAGAAAGAACAAGTCATCAAAAAAACCCTTTTGAGAGCCGGGAGGATTGCTGTGAGTTCGAGACCAGCCTAGGCTACATAGTGAGTTCCAGGTCAGTCTCAACTACATAGTGAGACCCTGTTTCAAAAACACCACCCCCCCAAAAAAATACCCTTTTGAGGGCTGGGGATTTAGCTCAGTGGTTCCAGCACCTGCCTGGCAAGGGCAAGGTCCAGAGTTCAATTCCCGGTACCAAAAACACAAAAACCCTTTTGAGCTTGGGTGGTGGGGCGTGTGGGTGGGGCACTAATCCTACTGAGCTTTTCATTTCTGATACCTTCTCTAAATAACCACGCTCATCTCTAGACACCTCAGATATCCAATGCCAGTTTAAGGGGCAGAAATTTCAGGATCTATCTGACAATGTGCCAATCTGAAATAAGACAAAACCTGTCGACTCAGGGGACACAGCAACTCAAGTTTTCCCAGGTTGCTTTGCAAGGGGAAGCCGGATTGTCAGTGACCCAGAAAGGGTGAGTGAGGGATGGAGTGAGAAGGGGCTGTAGAAACTAAGCCAGCCGCATCATGAGCACAAGTCCTGTGAAGGGGCTCATTCTGAAAATGCGTTTCATTCAAAACTTCTTTCAAATGGAAATAAAATTAAAATACGGAAGGGATTAACTGGAACTGGCCTGGATTCGCCCTCAGAGTCCAGGGAGGGGCTATGAGAAAAGACCTCAGACTGAGGTTACATGAAGCAGGGCGGATGCTCTAGTGCTAGGCTGCCGTCCCCAGGCCCCACCCGCTGCCACCTGCGGGCTCAATCCCGCTCGGCCCCACCCCCGGCAACGCCTCTCTCCGTCCCTTAGCAACCGCCCCCTCCCCAACCCTGCCGGGCCCGCTCTTTACCAGCTCTTCAGGGGTGCGAGTCTCACGCTCACCACAGCAGCAACACCACCGGCAGCAGCAGCACAGAGACCCCCTGCACCCCGCCATCTTCCTCCTCTACTGCCACTCCAGACCCCTCTGTCTACCCCCTCCCAACCAGGATCCACTCCTCACGTGACTGGCCCCGGGAGAGTCACGTGTCCTTCTCGAGTTTAGGGACGAAGACAGGGAGTGGCTGCAGACGGGTGGAGCGAGGGCTCGCGTCACATGACGGTAAAGGGAAGGCTTCCACCAAAACCTCTGGGGGCGGCCATGTTGAAGGCGGAACTTCCGGTCTCCAGCCTGGGTGGCTCCGCCCTCGGATCCCACCTGCCTTGGCAACAGATTTGTGCGTCCGGTTCCGCGTGCCCCGCCCCCTCCGCCTGCACCCCCTTAGCGGCCACGCAGCTGCAGCGAGCGGGCTTTCTCGCACCGCACTATCACGGTGAGTGTGGATGACGTCGGGGGTGGTCGGGGGCGGGGGAGGCCCCGGACGGGGAGCCCTCTGTAGGGGCGGCGACCTGCCCGCGGGAGGGTTGCACCAGAGGCGGGCCCTATCTTCTAAGTGGGGGGGATCCTCCAGACCCACTCCTCGGCGGGATTAGTGTAACCCCAGTGATTACCACTCCGGCAACCCCCAGCCCTAGATGGATGGACTCCGGAGATGAAGGGGCTCTGAAGGGTCTTGAGCCAGGGGTGGTAATCCAGCATCCTGCCCCCACCGGCCTGGACCGCATATCTGCTCTCGCTGGTGACCTAGTGACCCGATTCCTTCCCACAGGGTACCCAGACGCCCGGGCTGGCTGCAGGCCCATCCCTTTTCTTTTTCTTAAACGATACTGGCTTTGAATTCAGGGGCACTCCACCACTGAACGACATCCCCGGCCTTTTTTAAGACAGAGTCTCACTGTATTAGTAAATTGCTCAGGCTTGGCTAGAACTCGCAACGCTCCAGCCTCAGCCTCCCGGAGGGCTGAAATAGAGGCCCTTGCTTTTAAACTTGTATCCCCTGAGCAGCTGGAGAAGAATAGTAGGCTGCTGGCACTGCTGGCCCGGTGCCCATGGGCCCTACTGCACCCTGATGTCCACGTAGACCATTTGGGGCGCTGTCTGAGTAAGTGCTCTTCAAATGGCAGGGGCTGATTGGAGCACCTGGCCTGTTGATGCTGAGTGTAAGTGTTTTGATTTTGCCAGGCACAGGGGATGCTACAGGCAGGATACCTGGTTTTGTTCTTGGAAGTAGTGGAGACAGTCTTATTAACCCACAATTGTCACATGGATAAACTGGCTAGGGTCCTTGCTTTAGTGATAATGGAAAATAAAACAGAGGAATTTTCAGGCAAAAGGCTTTCATTTGAAAGTTAAAGAAGCTGGAAAGGAAACTTATTTTGAGCCACAGAGATCAAGGCTATTGCTTAATAAAGAAATGTGAAAGAAAATAGAGAAAGGACTTCAGTTTAAGCAACAGAAAGTGGCCCAGGTCTGCTGTAGAGATCAAACTAACTTAAGAGTGGGGGGCTGGAGATTTACCTCAGTGGCGCCTGGCCTGCTTGCAAGCACAAGGTCCTGAGTTCAATCCCCAGTACCAAAAACAACAAAAAAAAAAAAACAAAAAAAAAAAAAAAAAAAAAAAAAAAAAAAAAATGAAACATTTTTATTTATGGGGCGGGGGGGGGGTCTCATGATCTCGCTCCACTTGGCTCTGAAAATCCTGGCTTGAGGGGCAGTTCTGTGCCCATGACAGGATGATTCTTGCTGGTTGGGGGCAGCCTCCAGTCCTGGAATGGAGTGATTGTTCCTGCTTGGGTGGAGGGTGACTTCATGATGGGGTGGTCCATGAGGTTCCCCATTTCCTGGAATCCAAGATGACTGCAGGTTTAGGACAGTGTCTGGGGACTGCTAGGCATTGTTCCAGTTCTGGACAGGACATTATGAAAGCTACTAATTGGATGTCCTCACAAATCCTGAAAATTACTTTTAGTCTTACCTTGGTGTCCTCAATCTTGAAGACAGGCTAGATAAATTTATGATAAATGAACCTGTATTGCAAACATTCCTGAAGTAAGTAGCATCTCTGCTCTGAGCAGAGATTTGACCCAAAGTTTTTGGGTAGTAAAGGAAACGAAAACATAAAATAAAAAATGAAGGCAGAGATGTCAAGCTGCATCCTGCTTTTAGTTACCCATTGGGCATCTGCAGGTCCAGCCTGTGGATCCCAGTTACCCAGTTACAACCCTGGGCGCCACGGGAGCCCAGCTTAAAATGGATAAACAGTGGGTGTTGTTGGAAAGAGGGCATGACATGGCGCGTGCCTGGCACACACTGGGAAAACAGTGACTCTTTAAAGAGCAGACAGTTTGCAAGTGGTACAGCCTCCTCCTCTGGTTTTGTTCCAGCAGGCAGTTAATTAATGAGGCACTCCCTTGAAGGCAGGAGGAAGGCCAGCTGGCTGCTCTGCCATTACCCCCTTTCTCACCCCTCGCTGAGAATCTGGAGTGTTTTAGTTCGCTTCTAGTCCCAGGACAGAAATACCCGACACTCACAATTTAAAGGAGGAGAGTTTAACTTGTGGTGGTTTCAGCAGGTGCAGTCTGTAGCTGGCCAGTTCAAAGGCAGAAACAAGGAGGAAAAGCGTGGTGGCACAAGGTGCCCACCTCATGGTGGTCGAGAAACAGAGCTGGGGAACGGTGCCAGAGCATTTTTGCCGTACTGGGAATGGCATCCAGGGCCTTGTGTGTGCTGGGCAAACACTATACCACTGAGCTGTACTCCCGGTCAGAATCAAAGCCGGGGAGGAAGCACTGGCACGAGGCTCCTTAGTCTGCAGTCAGTGCCTTGACTTCAGGGGTGCACCCAGGTGTACCCTGTGCACTTGTTTCAGAGGAGAAAAGGGCAGTGGGTCCTATGATTCTGCAGGGCCCAAACTGCCAAAGTGTACCCACTTAGGGGCGATGTTTCCTGTGGGAATGGGCCCGACCCGTCCTTCCTCTGTTGATCCATGCACTGATATTCACTACTGTGTTTGCCATGCTGAGCAAGGGTAGTTTTTTTTTTTTTTTTTAAGTGTTTATCTTATTTTCCTCACCAAATTGCCATGCAGCACTGTGCCCTTCTTCCTGCATGGTGGCTCTGCAGTGGCTGTGACCACGTGGACTTCAGTGGTGTGCGGAAGAACCATCTGTGGTGCAGGCTCAGATGGGCCAGCTTTTGTTCCGAGTTGGACATAAATCTGTGCCCTTACCGGATTCGATCTGCTACTTTTGGCACAAAGCCAGCCTCACCACAGTGGTTTTCATGGAGCAACATGAACTCTGGCTGCCTGCCTAAGCGCTACCCGCCTCGGCCCTGCGCGCACACGCTGTGCGCGCACACTGTAACAGGAGATGTCCCAGGCAGGGCCAGCCAGAGAGAGCCCTTCCTTCTTTGGAGAGGGACCCAGTGACCCCAAATGTCTGTTCTCTGCAGCTCCAGCCACACCTCCCCTCCTTCCAGGGCCTTCTTCGCCCTCACCCTCCCTCTCTAGAGCCGGGAGCCTTTGCCTCCGCCCCCTCCGCAGGCCTCAACCCGGCTCTTCCTTTGTCGCAGCTCCGCCCCTCTGGGCACACCCGCTAAGGAAGGTTCCTCTGTTCCCTCCCCACTCTCCCTGGGTCTCAGCCTGCCCAGATGGACCATGGAAAAGCCAGGGTCCTCGCGGCTGGGCCCCGCTGCCCCTCCCTAGGAATGTGGGCCTCGAAGGCAAGCATCTCGAGGTACTCTGTGCCAACCCCCATCAGGTAGCTGTCACCGAGGACCCCTGGGCTGAGGAGCATGATTCCAAGCCGGGTGGGGGCCGCCAGCAGCCGAGGGCCCTGCTGTGGAGCGGAAGCCGCCGGCAGGGACAGCGTCAGCCTCCCTGCTGCCTAGAAATGCCGAGTCCCTGGCTTGAACCTGCTGCCCGCTCGGGCTCCGCTGCCCGCCCTCTGATGCCCCTGCCCCGCCCCGTGCAGCAGGACCTGGGCCATGGTGAACGAGGCTCGAGGGAGCGGCGGCGGCAGCAGTGACAGCGAAGGCTCCAAGGACAGTTCGCGATGTTCCACCCCTGGCCTGGACCCCGAGCGCCACGAGAGACTCCGGGAGAAGATGAGGCGGAGGATGGAGTCTGGGGACAAATGGTTCTCCCTGGAATTCTTTCCTCCTCGGACTGCGGAGGGAGCTGCCAACCTCATCTCCATGTGAGCTGGTGAAAGGATGAGGGGTTGGGGGAGGGGGTGAAGTATCGGCTCTGCGCCCCTGCTGCCCTTTGACCCGGCCGGAAAAGGCGCCAGCGGGGAACCAGGAGGAGCTGAGAGGTCGTTTGATTCGCATCTTCTCAGCTGTCCCGAAAGTCCCTCAAAGCCCCTCCTCACCGTCAGATACGGGTTTTATTTTCAGTGCCTTCTGTTTTCAGTTTATATTTTTATTAGTACGTGTTTGCAGTAGTTAATGATCACTTTCCTTGTGTGGAGTTGGTACACGTGGACGACACACCTTAGTTCTTTTTTCACCCCCCCACCCCTGTAGCTCCTCTTCCCCTCCCTCCATCTCTTGCTCCTTCCCCTGCCCGTTTGCAAAAGATCTATCTCCCTGCTTCCTGTTACCTATCCTTTATTTTGCTCTTTATTTGTATTTGCGGTTTCTCATAGAAACCATGTGATATTTAAGCTTGTGTGTCTGGTTTATTTGACTTAGTATTATGGTCTCAAGGTGCATCCATTTTCCTACAAGTGAGTCAAGTTTATACTTATTTATGGCAGAGTGGTGCTCCACTGTGTATAAACATCACATTTTCTTCATCCATTCATCTGTCGATGGACATACAGGCTGATTCTAGTACTTACCTATAATTATGCTGCTTTAAACATGGGTGTGCATGTATCCCTGTATTGTAATGTCTTTAACTCTTTCAGGAAGATAAATAGAAGGGGAATAGCTCAGTCAAATGGAATTTTTAGTTTTCATTTTACGTCACAAACTCACTATGTATTGTAGGCTGGCCTCAAATTCATGACAATCCTCTTGCCTCAGTCCCCTGAATGCTGGGATTACAGGCAAGCACCACCACACCAGCTAGTCTTACTTTTTTGAGGAATCTATACTGGTTTCCATAAGGGTTGTACACTCCCTCCAGTAAGGTAGAAGGGTTCCTAGCTAGCATTTGTTATTGCTTGTTTTCTGGATGATAGCTTGCCTTCTTTTCTTTTCTTTTTTCTTTTTTTTTTTTCATCAGATAACTTCAGACACACTTAAATAGGATAAAAATGTTGATTCTTGCAGAATCATTGTGTTCTTTGGCAGAATTGGGGCCAGATCATGTGTGGTTTAGAAAATCACAAAGAGCAGCTCAGCGAATGTTTTCAGCAAAATGAATTACATTAGCACTTTATGAATTTCAGTTCCTTTTAAAAAATTATGCCTTGGGCCAAGGATTTAGCTCAGTGGTTCCACCGCCTGCCTTGCAAGCACAAGGACCCGAATTCAATCCCCAGTACCAAAAAAAAAAAAAAAAAAAAAATGCCTTTTACCATTTGTTCTTCTCATGTGTTGCTCCCACAGTTCTGAAATTTAAAGGTGTGAGGAGGGTTAATGCAGCAGTAGATGCACTCCTGTGATCTCAGCTGCACAACACTGTTGTAACTTGTAACAAGTGCTGGTGGAAATTACAGACTTGCTTGCTTTTTCTTTTTTTTTTAATCCCCAGCAGTACTAGGGCTTGAACTCAATTGCCTGTTTGTTTTGGACTCAGTGCCTTTGTACTGCACTACACTTCCAGCCCCACCTCTTTTTATTTTTTATTTAGAGACAGGGTCCTTCTAAGTCAGTAAGTTGCTTGGGCTGGGCGCAAACTTAACAATCCTCAGCCAAGTGCTGGGTCACAGCCAGCACCCCTGGTTTCGGTTTAGCCTCTTCATCTGCTTCAGGAACCTTGGTCTCTGGGTTGCTGCACTGGGACCAGGGAGGGGACACAAAAGAGACTTATGTCTGTGGACCCTCATTTTCCTGTCCCTGGAGCAAGGTTCTGCGTCCTCTGAGGAGCCCCCTTCCCTGACTCTCAGCCATGGAAATGGCTCAGCTCTCTCAAGATTAGCTGTGTGGGGCCAGGGATGTAGCTCAGTGGTTCCGCCACCTGTATCAAAAGCGCAAGGTTCTAAGTTGGATCCCCAGTACAAAAAAAAAAAAAAAAAAAAAAATAAAAGAAATCAAAACGAAGAGGGG